TATTATTCCTGTACGCCGTGTTTAAGAAAAGTAAGGTTTTTCCCCCTTCTTTTCATTACATTATTATCAAATATCAAATTCAAATGCAAAAATCATGTCACAAGAAAGACATGCAACATCAAAAAGTATCCAGGGTGTAGTAGAAAAAATAGTAAAAGCTTACAAACATTGAGCTTTATTGATTTTACATTGAGCTTACAGAAATAGTACAATTACAGTTTTATGGTATTCAAATCTTCAAACATGGTATTCAAATCTTCAAACATTTTTCACCAAATCCGCTATTCTTTTCTTGCTCTTTTCTTGTTATTTTTTAAGTTCACTATATCATTCTCTAAAAGTAATAATAATAAATAACAATAAATAATAATAATAATAATAATAATAATAATAAAAGCACCTAAACACACTAGTTTTTAGGTATAAATGATTTTGAAAGAATTTTGAACCAAAATGAAGATGAATCTTACAACATTGCGCAAAAAGTTTTTTTTTAACTTCCAAACCGGCTTGTTTCCTTTCACTCTTTTAAGCACTTTTTTTCAGTAATCGAAAACAAGGTATTCTTTTGAACCACAAACTACTCAATTGCTACTCCTTTTATTGAATTTTAATTCTCGTAGTCTGACATTATAGATAATTTTCCTCAAGGGATATAAAAACGCAGAATTCTGGCGGCGTTTTCTAAACATTCTTTATTTATCAGTGTTGCTGATAATAATAGCATAAGCTAAGAAATCATTTCGCGTCAAAATGGAACTGAAAGCCAGAGTCGTAGATTTCATACAGTAGTAGTGAAGATAAGGTTAAGGGGACTCATACACCTTAAACCCCTTATGACCTTCCAATATGTGACTTGCAAGAATTGGGATATTTTATTTATTTTAAAAGCAATTACTTCCAACTTTTTAAAGCTGACTACATAATACAGCTGCTTCGGAAAATAGTAACCAGAAAGTTTGTGTGCCACAAATATTTTTGTAATTTAATCCTCTTTGTGACAAAATATTTCGCCATGTTTCCACCTTGCGCGCACGATATTTTAAAAATAGCTAATGGTACATACTTGAAATTGGATGGAATTCTTTACATGGGCACTACTTTCTAACTGAACCAACAATCTGATCAATATTTTAATAATGAAAAATTTTATGGACGAAAACATTAAAAATTTTGTTAATAAAATACATTTTATAAACTCAACTCAAAATAAAATAAAAATTTAACGTGAAATTTTTAGAATTTTAGGTTCACAGTAGTTTCCAAATGTTATAAAAGCTATATATTAAATATGGAATTAAATTATGAAACAGAATGTTTTAAACTGTGCGCGCAAGTTGGAAACATGACGAAAAATGTTGTCACGAAGCGGATTAAATTATAAAAAATATTTGTGGCAACACAAACTTTCTGATTACTATTTCAAAAAGCAGCTATATTATGTAGTCAGCTCTAAAAAGGTGGTAGTAATTGCTTTTAAAATAAATAAGTTATTCCGATTCTTGCAACAGTCACCTATTCGAACATCTTATGGGTTTTAAGGTGTATGAGTCCCCTTAATACACAAAATTAGCAAAGCAAAAACCTTGTGTGGCGTAGATGTTAGTCAAGATTTTATGGATTTCGAGGGCAAACAGCTACAGGTTCCTCAGCTCAGGAGCAAAGAAATTTGTAACGAAGGTAAAGCCAAAGTTGCATTTATGCTCAACAGGAGTAAAGCGAACGAGAAGGTAGAGCCATCTGTCGGTAGAGATAGTAACGAAAATCGAAAACTTAATAGAATTTTAAAAGCTTTAGGAAGCACTGGATTTGAATTAAAGTCATTAACTAAGCAAGACAAATCTTTGTGAATGTGAAAAGCTTCAAGAATATCCAATTCACCAAATAGAAGAAGCTTTTTTTTTTTTTTTTTTTTTTTTTTTTTTTTTTTTTTTTTTATAATCTTTGTACATCCAAAGTCTACATTATAATTAAATTTCCAACTATGATTAGCTGTCGAAAACTTGTTAATTTCGCCTTTTCGAATGTAAGATTCGTGTTCCTTGGTGTGAAACTTTATTCTCTTTTAGTTTAGCGGATATATCTCAAACCACACTGACAAGATATATTATAAACTCCCCAAGAATTTAAGTTAGAAATGGAAAGCTTTCACATTCACAAAGATTTATCTTGTTTAGTTAATGGCTTTAATTCCAATCCGGTCCCTCCTAACGCTTTTGAAGGTCTATTCACTTAATTTTTCAATTTTCATTACTATTTCTGCCGACAGATTGCGCTCAGCTGGTGCGAATCACTGAGTAGCGCCCTGCACAAGATGAGGACGGCTATCCTGATACTAGACATGACCAAAGCTTAACCGCATCTGACATGTTGTAAAACAGGGTGAATGTATTTCAAGTATACGGATTATTTAAGGAGGCGTCCCACAATGGTCTATCCTTGGTCCAATCCTCTATATATTATATGACATCAACTTCCCTAATTTCAGGATAGACCAAAATGTCTAACTCGCCTGCTACGAAGACGACACGGCAATACTTGTGAAATCTCGAAGGCCAAATCAGGCTGTTGTGAAACTCCAGAATAACATTCCTGAAACTGAACAGTAACTCGCCAAATGGACGACTATAATTAACCCGGAGAAATCCCAAGTTCTACTTATTAGAAAATATCGCAACTAAAGACACTCTCAGTAATAACATCACCCTCTTCGGGCGGCAAGTCTCAAGACTGAATCAAGCAAACTACTTGGGAGTCATGCTAAATCGCTCGTTTACTTGGACTACTCATATTAGTAAAGCTCGAAACAAAGCTTTAGAAGTCACCATTAGACTATACCCACTACTGAAGGAGAAGCTTAGTATTTGAACAGGGGAAAGAGACATATTTACATCTCGGTCTAAGCCGATTTTTACTTACGCTTTCCCCACATGGGCAAATGCGAGTAAAAAGGACATTCGGACTCTTCAGAGATTGCAAAACAAGATGCTCAGGATCGAGCTCCTCACTTTTGTGAGAAATAAAAACATTCATGCTGATCTAAAAATTGAGTTAACAGCCGATTATCTTCATCGAACTAACAAAAGGTTCTTTGAAAATATTTCGCACAAAAAACCTGTAGATTTCGCAAATGTTTTCTCTTAAGAGATTCTTGAAGAAGATCGAAACACCAGGTCTTCGCTGCATTTTACTTAAAGTATGCCAGGGGAATTACTAGAATTAATTTACTAGCAGGGTGTATTACATAGTGATTTGGCAACCAACAGTGTGACCAAAGTGATTCAGCAGCTGCACGTTCATGGCTATGGAAATTGCAGATTTTATTGCTCTGTGGACTATATGACTCTCGTAGAAATTAGAAATATGTATGCATAAGCATCACATTGGACATAATTTTCTAATTATTTTGACAGGTCATTTGCATATCCTTTATTGGTTTAACATTACATCAAACTGCGATATTGTATTTTCTGTTAACTTTACGGTTACCAAAAAAAAAAAAAAAAAAAAAAAAAAAAAAAAACATACACAAGTGACTGCTTGAAAAGACCTGACTCGATGTTTCTACCGTGGATGGTAACTAGGCGTCGCTTAGTTACTCGTCAACAAAACTCTGTACATGTTTCCATTTATTTTCATTATGCATAGTTTTTTAATCGCTTTAATTAAAATGTGAGTATTTTGTGCTTATTTCAATATGCCACATGTGCATATCCTGTACATAATATAGTATATAGTTTCAGTTACTCGTCAACTGAAAAGCAGGAAAGCTTTCTCCTTTTATTTTTTTTTTAAATAAATATTTCAAAATAATTACGCAAGACAAATGTAAAAGAGGATATAAGATGAAATTACCAGTCAGTCTTTTTAGAACAACTATTGGCTTCATCTTCAACTTAGGGTCTTCTTCTTCGTCTGATTTGTCAGAAGATTCTTCTCCTGAAGCTAACAAGTTTAAAACATCCAAATTTCTGCACAGGAGGGAAAAAAATATTTTTGAATATGAATTATTAATTTAAATTAATTAAATTACTTTCAGTAGTCGTTATAATTATATTGTTCTAAAAAATTGCTTTTTAAAAAATGCTGGTGATATGATTTAAAAAAAGTAGAGGAATTTCTTCGTTTGGAGTGTGTATGTATAAAATTGCTATTGTATATAAAAAATTGCTACGTACGCACAGAAGTTTTGAATGACAAATGAGATATAGTTCAATATTAGATGAGCAGTTTAATATCAGATGCTTAGTCACAGCTTTTCTGCTTCATAATTTGTTGTATGGAAGCAAAACAGTTATGACTATGCCTCGTATTTTCTTTTCAGTTCATTTAGCTTCAAATTAAGTCCCCCTTGAAGACCAGCGAGCGGAGAAAAAAAAGCGAAGCTAGGGGACCGACCCCCCCCCCGAAATGGACCGTCGCCACCGGCCCACGCATTTTAGCAGTTAAGCCTACTTTTACTTTAAAAAAAAAGATCTGAAAGGTTTCAGATTTTAAATTACGTCCAAAGGGGCGTTTTTTTAACGTTTTGTGTGTTACCTTTATTTATTAAATATCTTTTATTAAATATTTAATAAATATTTCTTTGCACTTAAACCACAAAATTCAGCTCAACAGCAATGTCGCAAAATAATTTTAAAATGAGACTATCTTTAGAATTTCCGATACACAATTCCGCGCGCGCGCTGGAGATAAAAAGGTCTTCCCTCCCCCTCCGTAGAGTGCTGCCATTGCTCGCTTTTAAATCATTGAGTTTGTTAATCAAATATTCGCTCAAGTTTTACAAAATATGAAATCGATAATAAAACAAATTCCAAATTTAGGCTTTCAGACCCCCATATTCGCAGTAGAATTACGTCATTCAAAATTGGATGACTCTAGGTACCGCTGTTTTATCACAATGATAGAAACATACGTACATTTATGCTGTTTTATCACAATGATAGAAACATACGTAATTGGATGACTCTAGGTACCGCTGTTTTATCACAATGATAGAAACATACGTAATTGGATGACTCTAGGTACCGCTGTTTTATCACAATGATAGAAACATATATACATTTATGCAGATTCTTCATTATTTAACTCCTTCAAATATAATACATGGCGATAGTATTTGGTCGCAACGATTTGAAAAGTGATACAGCCTTTTAAAGTTTTCAACGCAAAATCGCAGAACGAAAACAATAATCCTTCAAGAACAAATTGCCCCTTTGGACTAATAACTCAGATAAACTGACTTGATTTCAAGAATTCTATACATATATATATGTAATAATAAAATTCCATAGTCAAGAATACACTTAAAATTCTAATGTAATGTATGTTCTTTTCATTTTTTAATGGCGACGGTCTCTTATTTTGAAAGTACGTAGAATTAAATACACAGCCCCGTAGTCAAGTTGTTTTTCCCGCCTTTTCTACACGTACAGTTATAGAATGTTCTGGAAATATTTAAAGCGAACTGGAATGGCTGACGTCATTTCTTGTAAGCTCCGCCTTTCCAGAGGCTATAAAAGGACTCGCAAAGGAATATCGGGGTCTTTTCTTTGATGTAACGATGCAGTAAACTTCACACAAAAAGTTATTAGTAATTCTTTTTTATTTACTCCGGAAATATGATTTTTGTAACTGCTATTTCTCCTGACTAATAATAAATGGATCCTGTTTTTTTTTAACTTATCGTCTGATAATTTAAGCTACGACTACAACTATGATTCTTCACCAATCTATTTATTCCGGACAAAAGCTGGTACATCACACACACACACACATACATATATATATATATAATCAGCATTTTAATACAATGACAATATATATATAATCAGCATTTTAATACAATGACCTCAATTTTTGAAGTCGAGATTTACTCAATCAGTTGAATAGTGACATTGTATTGAGTGAAGAAGAACTTGAATTAGAAACTAAAATTATCAAAATAAGAAGTGGTAGCTGTGTGGAAGGGCAAGGCTTCTAAACGACTAAAACAGCTTTCAGGAAATTCAGATTCTATTATGAGTTTGGTACCTAATGGGGCTAGTGAATCAAACGCTATCCGTGCAAGAAATACCGTAACATTGCCGAAACTTTTAATAAACAATTTTTTTTTGATGTAAGCATGTGGCTTGATTTTTGGAGTCAGTTTAAAAGTTCATCATAAAAACGAAAGTTTATCTGACGTTGAAAAATTGTCATACCTGAAACATTTATTAGGAAGAATTGCGCTGAATGCAATTAAAGGAGTTGCTCTAACGACCGAAAATTACAATAAAAGCATTCCTTTGCTAAATGAATGTTTCGGAAGAAACGACATCGTAATTAACATTCATATGACTAAGCTACTAAGCCTAGGTCTAGTGAAGCGTGCGTGTTCTTCGGAAATTATACGATGAAGCAAAAACTAATATTCGATAATAAAAACTTAAAATATACTGCGGGATGTTGCGGTCATCTATTACATAACGAAATTTTAACTGTTTTAACGAAATTGATTCCGGAAGAGAGAGCTTTAGAATACAGTTGAGGAAAAGGAAATTAAAAACAGAATTCGATGTTTTAGAATTAGCTGAATTCTTAAAAATTGAAACGGAATGTCGCTAAGCTTCCAGCTTTTTGTACGATTCGAAGAAATCTAAAAAATTTCTAGGAATTATTTTAAGAAAGAAATAAATCAAAAAACAGTTTATAAGGTATTTCTCCCGCCTTCTTAACATGCCTTCGGGGTGTAGGGGCCAGCAAGCTCGACGCGTATTCGAGAGGTCCGTGGTTCGATTCCCGGCGAGGGCATTGCTCATTTTTCATGTCTTCTGTTTCCAAATAACCGAACGTCTCTACAAGTTTAGGCGCATTAATCAACTAACAGCTGCATTTTCAACCAGTGTAAAATTTAACTGTGAACTCTGTGATGCGAATCATGATTCATTTAAATGCGAATGTCACGCGCCAGTGGAAGAAAGATACAAGCTAAAAGTCGAAGGTCGTTGCTTTAAATACTACAAAAATGTCCTTTTTGAGTGTTAATTGTAGATAAAAATTAAATTCAGGTAGAAAATGTAATTGTAATTATCATCACGAGAGCATTTGCTTCAATGAATCTTCAAGTAAATAAACTTACAAACCGAAAATTCACCCAATGAATGTGTTAATATAAAAGAAATGACCGTAAATCCCCAACGCCAGTTTCGTCTGTATCATTTTGCAAGTAAGTAAAAGATTCACATTTAATTTTATTACAAACATGCCCCGTGAGAAATGTAACACCTTACATATAGATAAAAAAATGATCGGAGTATTATTTGATAATACTTCAATGCGTTAAAAGCGTAATGATTCTAAGAAATGATTAGAACTTGAAACGTTAATCACAAAGAAAATTATCAATGCATATGTTTGCGTCCTGGACAGATTAGTATAGAAAAATGTTAAAATGCCGCCATAGTGAATCCGACCTATATTTTGCTGACAGTACAAAACTGCTTGAAGTTCTAATAGGCGCGGAATACGTTTGGTAAATAAAATCGATGGATACGAAAATATGAGCAAAAATTTAACCACCGTGAAGATTTTGGAATATGTGTTCAAGGTTAAACATTTATTGTTCACCACAGTGAATATATGTGTAGTAATGGCTGTATATGTGTAACAATGGCTCAAACAGCCTTTGCGCATGGCTACGAAAACAAATAAGAGAGGATTAATGATGGGTTGGTTCACAGACTGTCAAATAAATAGGGATCTGAAGAGGCTTTGGTAAATTGATAGTTTATGTGTTCAATCTCGGTTTGAACATATTTCGTTAAATATTATGAAACAATTTGAAACAGAAAAAAGGATAAAAGATATGAAGTTAGATTACCATTTAAAATGGAAACAAAATTAGTCGATAATTTTAATATTGCAAAACGAAGATTGTTCAGTTTAAGGAAAAGATTTAAGAGTAATTAATATCTTTAAGAAGAATATAAAAGGATTACAAATGAACAGTTAGCTGAAAGTACTAATAGAGGAAATAAATCCTGAAATAGAAGGTTTTTTTTTTTTTTTTTTTTTTTTTTAATTAGTAGTTTACGATGCTTCGTCCAAAGAGCTAACCAGGTATCAAAGGGACCAAATGTGTACCTTAACATTTTGGATCTACTTCTAAATTTCAAAAGGAAATAAAATGCCTTCGTAGCTGATATCGGAAAGGCTTTCTTACAGATTTGCCTAGCGGAAGCCGATCGGAATTATTAAGAGATTTCTACGGTTTGATGGGTTGACATCTGGAAGCTGAAAATTTACCAAATCACGAAAGTCCCACTGAGTGACTTCTAGCCCTTTCCGCTTAGCAAAGACAATACAACACAAATAAATATAAGGATTCGAATAAAGAAGGATAAAGGATGTTGAATGAATGCTTATGTATGTCGATGATCTATTGACAGGAGCAATTCTACATTCTCAATCCCGAAAGAAGTCTACAGACACAAAATTTATCTTATCAAAGGCAGCTATGAATCTGAGAAAATGGCGAAATAATTCAAAGAATCTGCTGAAAATCTGGAATGAAGCAGGATTTCAAAATCATTCTATTTCTAAAAAGTGTATAGTACCACTGAAGGTACTGTTTGGAACACCGAAGCAGATGAATTTAGTTTTAACCTTTCTCCTATTTGGCCATTGTTAGACGATAGACAGAACACATAAAGAAGCATTTTGAAATTAGTATGTTAAATTTATGACCCTATGGGATTAATTACACCACTTGTAATTATAGTGAAGATTCTAATTCAAGAATTATGGGAGAGAGGTGTAGGATGGGATGAAGAGCTAACTGAGAATTTGAAAATTAAACGGGAAAACTGTTGTAGAAACATTTCTAAATTGGAAACTGAAGAAAATACAGTTTGTCTACTCTGTAAGAAAGGAGTGCTTTAATTAATTAATATTCCAAGTTTGGCAAGCTATCGCCAAATGTGCGAAGAAACTGAAGAAATCGGACATTTCGATGGATAACTTGAAAAAGAGGAAAACTGCGAAGTCTTAGGATGGCAGGCGTTCGGTGACCGAAGATGGTACCTCTTCCTTTAAGTTGGCTGAAATGACACTATTTTCCATCTTGGCTGATCTGGCATGGACTGAAATATTACTCTGTCCTTCAAATTTCGCAGCAGTTTTCCTGATAAAAGGCAGCACGATAAAAGTGCTTGGTATTGAACCACAAATATGTATTACGCACGAAACAGGTTTAAAAAGCCAAACTTAACTACTTAAACTTTCTATAACTACTTACTTATAACCAGAAGCTCCTTTTTTTTTAATTTCCTGCTTCATCATCTGAAAGAAAAAATGATAATAATCAAATGCAAATTTAAGACATTCGTTAGTTAAGAACGAACAGTTCAGTTAACAGTTTCAATAGAAAGATGATAAAACTTTTAGTAAATAGAAAACGAAATGCCATTACATTTAGACCTATCAAATTGGATCAGGTGTATAACAATGCACCAGATAAAGGGGCGTCAAGAATGCACTTCTAACAATTGATCTGAATGCACCACATCCACCCACCTTATTTGGTAAACATATCGATCCGGATGGTTCCTGCATATTGCATTCATGGTCGCCATGATCATTATACTTTTAAATCGTTTACTTGTTTGATCCTCATAAAAACTATTTAAATTTCGCAAATCTATGGAAGACAAAAGAGAGAGAGATTTCTATATAATAAGAGCTACATTTGTTTTGTAAAAATGGCATAAAACACATTACAGAGAATTTTGTGTAATGACAGTCAATGACGGTGCGCCTCCAATAGAACAATAATCTTGTTGTTACTTAAAGTGTTCTTCAGAAGTTTAATCCTGGAGTAAGTACCATAAAATATTGGAATGAAGAGTATGTGTTACTCAAGAACAGAAATAATGCACTTCATAGATTTCACAGTAAAATGCTTTCTTGTGAAATTTGAATTTAAGCACAATACCTCAGAGAATTTCTAAAAAATAATAAATTCCCAGAAATTTTTTTCATTAGACCCATTTCTTGTTGATTTAACATAGCCACCTGTTGAGTGTGCAATCTCATTCTTAAAATTTCTTCTTGAGTTCAGACAACTTCTCACAACAAGGTGTGTGTGCGTGCGGGGGGGGGGAACAGAAGTCTAAAAAAATTCTATGTTCTGTGTTTTTTACTGCAGTAGTCTCAAACTCAAATTGACTGCAGGCCGAATGCACGATCTGAAAATTAAAATGAAGAGGAAAAAGTATTCATTTTTTTAACAAAATAATTTTTTTTTGACTACATATTTAACAAATTTTGGCCACAAATACGAACTGGGAAAAAAAAAAAAAAAAAAAATTAAGATTTATTTTGCCTTGACTGCCAAGTTCTTAGTCATAGCGAATTCAACATTTTAGCATTCTACTCAATCAGAATTCTTCCGCTTCATTATGGATGCACGTTCTACTACGTCATCAGTATTTCTACGATTCAGTGTTCCTTCAATAAAAATATGCACTTTTATATAACGCTTCTGGCGAAAATACATTATATAAGCTTTCAGTCAATAATTGTTTTAAAGCTTTATTAATTATCCAATCAAATGGTATCGAAACCGAAACTAACCCACTCTGAGTTAAGATTTCGTCCTGAAAACATCGTACTTCGCTTTGCTGCGTTGCGTAACTACACTGCAAAATCAAGAGAATCTGACTTTGCAGGAAGAGGAGCCCATTGTATTCAGAATGTCTCGAAATGTAGCTTGCTAAAACTCCAAGGAAACACGAAGAGCAAAAGTAGCTATTCTAAAAAAAGTGTCCGAACTTTAGATCATCAAATCCGTTTCTGAATACGGTATTAGATCATCTTCTAAAGATCTTCTAAAAGGAAACATCCCCATAAAGAAATGCACCAAAAATAGACTGGCTCATTTTAGAAGAATCTTAAGAAAATTAGCTGATAATACCTCTTTTTAAGAAAAGACGTCTCTTAGTTAAAAAAAAAGGGGGACCTTTTTTTTTTATCGTTCCTCATTCCAGCAGCAGGAAGCGTCTTATCATCCTTAATCCATGGAACATTGTAAAATTTTGCTTTGGTACCTCTGGATCACATGCAACAATTTCAATATGACCATTTGAGTGATTTAAATACACAAATTCAACATATGTTAAAAAAAAATGGACGATGAAGAAAAGACCAAACTGTACATCTAGGTTAGACAAAAACATGGTACGTTTCCTAATGTTAATGCTGTCAAAGTTTCTGAAGTAGAATCTCTTGACCCATTGATATAGAAGATGAAATCATAAAGATAGTTCCTGTCAAACAGAAAATAGTTTTTTAAAACAACATCATGTTTCTTAAACGCAGAACAAAAAACTGATACTAGATGGGAACGTGTTTCTTGGTTCAGATATTGTTCAGCTCAAAAAAACTTTCCGTTGAGAAATATAATTCGAAGGCCTACTGCATTCGAACAATTTAAAGAAATACTAAAAATAAATAACTTTCCTCAAAAGTTTATAAAAAAAACAGACTTTACTGCTTGCAAAAACTATATATGCTGGATCTAAAACAGCTTTCCCCATTTGTAAAGTGTATACCAGCCAGTTTCCTTTAGAAAGTCCTCCACAAAGGCATCCCTTTCCACAGGCAGATAGACCTAGTGTACTTTGCCATACTAAACTAAAATGAAACCAAAACCACTCGTGGATATATACATTACATGTCTGAATCCTGTCCCGATAACACAAAAGTACCAGTTAAAATTGGGCTTTTAAAGATATGTGAAAAGAGTTTTGAATTAAAATCCAGATTATATTTCATTATCTTGTAATAAATACATTGGACTTAAGATGGCACTGTAACTATTTAATACGAGTTCCACTAAGCTGTCAATAATGCTTTATACTTACATTAAGTACTGAAATCAAGATCAGAATGTTATGAATTAGTATTATTGTTCGCATAAGTGCTTCACATTTAGAAGTCCATTCTATTATCAATAATTTAATATCCATTCTTAACAAATAAGAACAATACGATACTAATTATTACATTTATTTATTTATAAGTTCTATGAATTGCAATAATTTCCTTTTCCGATATCTTCTTTTACAAAATACTTTCAGTCTATAATTCCTTTTTTAAATGTTAATTTCTCTTCATCATAGGTAAAATATATTCACACTTTATTGATGAAAAATTATTTAATTAAAATGTTCAAAGTATATGTTACAGAAAACAAACATATTGACGTCTATAATTTATTAAAACTTATTTATTTATTATAGTGAATTAATCAAATTCTCGAATTAATAGGTAGAGTTTGAAAAGCAGAGGTCTAAGAAATCATGTAACATTTATTTACATAAGAATGACTGTATATACATACTGAACACAAGTTATCTTTTACTCAGACATTTCATGCTAACCTCTTTTTATTGCATTAGAGTTTTAAAAATAAGTATTTTTAATGATTTTTCTACTACTTTTTCAAAATTCTGATTTTTATGCCAGTCAGAAATGATTTTCTTTGAGTATACAGAATTAAATTATTTATTTCTGGATTAGTCATCGAGTAATTTAAAATATAATACTTAGTACTATTACAAAATTTAAGAACTCCAAAATATTCATCTTAAAGTTTTTAACACGCTGCTTTTTATTACATAAAAAAATTAACCAAAATGTAAACATGTAATATTGAAAATTTCTCTCTTAAGTAAAATTATTGCAGCTACATGATTTCAGCACAAACTAAATATTACAGTATATAAAAGAATACAGTGTACTGCCTGTAAAATTAATGATACTTACGTATTAGCACAACCACCTTAGCTCAATTTGGATTTAACACATGAAAAGGTAAAAATTATACATTGGGTGCAAGTTGATGGTTTTCACAATTTTTCTTAAATAGATACCGAAATTATTGATATCTATCATAAATTGGATAACATTATCAAATTATGAAAAGAGAACATATTTTAGCAATTTAAAAATTTTAATGTTTAAATAAGGAAATAAAACACGTTCATCTCAATCTTTCTGTAATTGTTTTGCCCTATTCTTTTCCCAAGCGGTTTGTTTTTGCTTGAAAAAAATTAAATAATTTCAGAGACTCAGCATCGCACAAACTTCAGCAGCATCGGCTATCTACCAAATGCATTTCCTTTTTGTTTCTTTTAGAAATTTTTTGGCAAAATTTTGTATTCCTGTAGAGTTTTGTTTTCCATTTCCATAGTAGTTTTTCCATTGTTGATAAATTCCAAAGAGCATATTTTAAAATTAAGGCAAAAAATATCACAATTTGTTCATAAAAAATTTTGAAACTTGAAATACAACACAAAGAATGTATACAAAAATGGCGACATTGCCCTATTAAAGGATTGTTATGAGCATGGTTCCTAGAGTTTGGCACATTTTAAAAATTTGACGAGATAGATCTCGTCAGGTTGAGGTGGTTGCAAGTAATAAATTAATTACATTGTAATGCATGCATTTTTACTGTTAAGAATATAAAATTTTTACTTATAATAAATATCTGAATATGCTAATTATTTATTTGTCTTCTTATGTAATTTTGATAAATTAACCACTATTTATTTTACATCAGTAATCTTCAGACTAATTTTAAATTTAGTTTCAGTGTGAATTTCTTTTGTTCTCTGCTTTCTTATGTTTAAATTGACGTCATGTAAAGCAACATAAAAAATAAAACTATTAAAAAAATATATGAAAAGCAAACAAATGAACAGATATGACAATGTATCAGTTCAGTTTCATAGATATTCTGTACAGTAATACCCCTAATTTAATTAATAGGTGGAACTAATGAAAAGTACAACTTCACATACAGGATCTGTCAGAAAAATACATAGAGACTTTAACAGATGATATCTATATATTCGTTTCAAAGTTGAATTATCTTTGTAATATGTAATATGATATTTCCTTAACATGTTGGTATTCTACATACATACATGTAACACATGACAGTGAACCAAAATGGATTTGGATGACTTTGAGGTATATTGTGTAGTACAAGAAATCGGTTAGGCTAGAGGTCTTTCATCAAAAAATAATGGCAGAATGTGCAGCAGTCGAGGCGACAAACATTGTTCAAATAACTGCTCAGTACTGTGCTATATGTCTAGCTGTTAATGGCTACCGCTGTGACAGAGCAGTCTAAGTAACTGTACAGGTACATATTCATGAATTTTATTATTAAACCTAGCATAGCCTATGATATCAATGATTTAATTAACTTATAATTAAGTTCAATACTAAAGCAAAAGAATTTTCTTTTATTATTAAAGTGTGTGCATTTT